GATCATATTCTTTAGAATTTACATTTCCATATTTTCTATTTATCTTTAAGTTATGACCATCATCCATTGCTTACAATTAACCACCACATAAATGTATAAAAATGATGAATGGACAAGACATAAGAAAGTAAAACTTCTGAAGAAAATACTAGAAAATATTAGTTTTATCTGGGGAATTGATATGGGGGAAGAGCAACCAAAACCTAACTAAAACAAGAAGTTCAAATGATTTAATACCACAGAAGTGAAACCCTTGGGAAGAAAAGAGATTGCTAAACAAAATTTACTTAAGAAAAGGTTGGGAGAGATTCTCTGCACTGTAAAGAACTAAAGGCCTTCCAGAGCCTCAGAAACTGTGGTAAGCAACCCCTCCCCCTCCAACAGCAGATGATGAACTGGCAATTCCCAGAGGGCAGCATAGCTACAAGCTTCCACATGAACAAAGGACTGAGCTCAGGTTCATTAGGAAGCAGAACTAATGTCAATTAAAATGTGGATGCACTTGTCAAAATCTGGCCAAATTATAAAGATGGACAATATTCAGTTATCAACCAGGATACAAAAAAAACATAAGTCTATAGTCAGAAAGATATGTTGATACTTTACTAGTTGTAAGGTATATTTTAAAAACAAAGTTTCCATAATTTGTTAAACAGATATTCCTCGAAACAGTAAATCTTCTGAGTTAATGTATCATCCAGGAATTCAATTTCTAGGTATATAGCAAAGAACGATTAAAAACACATGCTCTCACAAAAACTTGCACAAGGATGTCCCTGACAGCATCATTCCTAACAGTCAGGTAGCCATTTCAAATGTCCAGCAATTGATGATGGCTAAAGATGCATGGCTCACCACACCCTGCAATATCACTTGCTCATCAATATAAGGAAAGCATTGGTATAGAGAAACACTGTGCAAAGTGAGAGAAATTTGACAGAAACACCAGACACCATATAATTCTATTTATATGAGTTGTCGGCCTGGAGTAGATATAAGTATGGGGAGCTGATGAGACCAGGATTTCTTTATAAAGTTAGAAAGGTATTTCAGTTTTGATTTATTCTACATTTTGAATGGATGGCATTCATAATATGTAGAAGAGATTTCAATAAAGTTATTACTGTGAAAAAGTCAACCTGTGACTAAATCCTTAAAACACATCTAGTTTAGCAAGTCAATCGCGCAGTAACATTGACTAGGACTGCCTCACATACAGTATTTCTTACAGGTTTGTCTTATAGTACTGGAAACCACCCACATGCTCACCAAGGTAAAATGCTCAAGGCAAAAGACACACATAATGGTTCAAATACCAAGTAGCCTTAATAAATAAAGGCGAAAAAATGTCCTTGTCCATCCTCCACTGAACATTGTCAGGTCACACCTAAAATCCACATTCTCCTCCACTACCAGAGGGGCAATTGTTGCTAGCTAAATGAAACAAAATACACAGCAACAAACAACCCCCAAACCTAAGAGCCTTACAAGGGGGATGTTCCAGACCCCTCCCACTGCCCTCTTCTGTGCTCCTTAGGGCAGTAGACTTATATCTTTCCTCTTTACTTCTGCACATTTACTGCACTCACTTAGACCACCAGTAAACTTCCCTATCTTGAACGTCCTCAGTTGAATGAAACCTGTTGCTTTTTCTCCCTTGCATATCATTTCTTCAAAGGAACTTCTACTACCAAGGTGACTTAACACTCAGGTTCTTGTTTCCTGCTGCTCCTATAAAACTGTCTCCTCTCCCCTGTGTACAGCCGAGACAACTTGCAATCATTAAAACAAGAACTACGAAGCCCATCAAAGGCTGCACTTCTATGAGCTCACCAGCAAAATCCTTGCCCACAATGCTGAAGAGCAACTCCCTTAAGAGGTGGTTTGTATCTCAATTATCTTACTAAAGAATTACTCTTTCTTAACCCCTGTTCTCCTAGAATGAGATATATTATTCAGTTCACTTTCAACTCTATGCTGTGGACAAGGACCTTTGGATTAACTTCTTTCCATGTTGGCAAACATCTACCTTTTAGGATGTCTAGCACTGAAATCTAGTACATGATGGCAGTATACTGGAAGGACTGAGTATATTGTCAAAGCATACACACCTTTAAGGGCTTTCTCATACTTTATGTGTTAATGCAGCATTAAATGCAGTTTAATATCTTGCTAATTACCCTCACTTCACCCTGATCTCTAATACAAAAAGTCCTATAAGTTCTACCTTCTGTAGACTCTGCCTCAGAAGATGCTCTACACAGAGCAAACAGAGGCTTCACCATGGTCAGAAATCCTAGTAGTTTAGTTTCTGTTGTTTCACTTTGGTCAAATTAATAATCAACCAAGTCTTAGTTTCTCAACCATATTGAGGTTAAAAACACATATCCAAAGTATACTGCTTATAGGAAGAAATAAATAGGCTGTCCTATTTCCTTCCTTGCCACTGCCTGTCACTGTTCTGTATCTCTCCCTGTCTATGCTGTGTGCCACAGCTTACAAACTGTGATTCCTTTTTAGTAAGGGTACACACTAACAGCATCCTTTCTCCCCCTAGATCCTACTGTGCTATTTCTTCAGTGCTTACAGTGGCACAGCACTGGGAAGCCTACATGTTTCCATCCAAGCCCATGCTGCCAGTCTTTTCCTTTACCTGTGCTCATCACAAACGTACTGCTTCTCAAACCTTGTTGTACACACAGCAGAGTCTTAAGTCTTAAGGTTATGGCCATGCTCCAATACTTAAAAATTCTACCCTTAACTGTTCTCAGCTGGGGTCTGAATACTCGTGGTTTTAAGGTTTCAAAATAGTGTACACTATTCTGTTCCAAATGTCTGTCTCCTTGTCTAGACATATAATGTGTATGTTTCCCCCAAAGCCCTCTTGCACATACTATCTGTCCACATTAAAATTCCTGTGTCTATTTACACCAATATAAACACTGCAAAAAAGGTTCCTTCTTCAGCATGTCTATGGTTTATATTTCAACGTGTCTCATTTCACCATGCATCAAATCATCTACGGGCATTTGACAGAGAATTGAGCTCTTCCCATGAGCCCTTTCAGTATTTTTGAACTCTTAGTATTTGCAATAGCAGTTGAAGAAGGCATTACTTCCAAATAAAGGAAGCTAAGGCAAGAGAAGTAACTTGCCTGAGTGTTTGAAACCTACTATATAACTTGTCATTTATGTTCCGCAGTTACTACCATCTTGTCTAAACCAGAAATATACACAGCAAACGCTGAAAAAAATGTATGGATTTTATTTTATGCTTAAACATCTGGACACAGAATTAAGTTCAAGTCAACATTCCAAAAGACTGAAGAAAAATTTAAATACACTCAGGCAATTCTCTTTCTGAAGATGACTCTATCTTCCAGCCATTATTTAGTTTCAATCCTTAAACTGTACTTTAAACTATCCATAGTAAAATGATAGTCTTAGCCTTGAATGCCAGTACTTCAAGAATCAGAAATGAATGAATTTGCATACACCAGGAACCAAGGCTTATATAAGTGATGAACAAATTCTGTAACTGAGGTAAGACCCTCAAAATGGTATGCACTTAGTGGGGCAGGAGTCTTCTAACAGGATAACTGGAGAGACTGTGGAGTGCACAGGAAACTGGACCAAGATAACTTAGTAACAAACAAAAGATTTAACAGTTGTGGGCACAGCAAGCAGCAGGAAGTAGCAGTGGTAGAGCTCAGGAGGAATGGGAACTTAAGCTACAGTTTCTTCTCTAGTTATTTGAAATATAGATTTCTCAGAGACCAGAAAGCTTTGGGAAGAGGGAGAAGGTGAGCAGGGTGAGATCAGAGACACTCCACATTACACAAGAGATTAGCTCTTTAGCCAGCGGGATCAAGTGCTTTTACATCTAAATCAGAATACAGAGTCCTTAGGATGTGCTTGAACACAGAGAGCAGAACAAGCCGGAGCCCTCTTGGGGCTCTTTCTGCATAGTCTTTCTCTATGCAGTCAGCACAGCCAAGCTCTTGCTAAATCAGTTACGCTGCACAGTGTGTAGGAAGTCAGGCTTTCATCTCCAAACAGCACAGTGGAAGGTTGTAGTGTGTTTTGTAAATTCTAGAGTTCTGTAATTTTAACTCAAAATTTTCCTAACACTAGATTCTTTCTCTGAATTAGCTATACAAATTTCTAAAATTTGAGGAAAATTCAAATTAAAAGTGGAGAATCATTCATTTGGGAATGAAAAGTAGTATTAGCAACATTTTTTCAAACATAATATATTCTCTGTTGTTTGGTAACAATGTTGTCAAACATCAAATCGAAGGGAAAACAGTATAAATTTGCCTATGAACAGAAACTATGAAGCTTCATTCCTATGATACACATTTCATTAAGAGGCTTATTGCACTTACTCTATAAAAAGTAAATGACTAAACAAATGAATTCAGATTGCCCAGTAACAAATGGAGGGGTTTTATTCAATAGCCACACATCCACTGTTGAAGCGAATGTCCTAGCCAGTGTGCTTCACCTGACGTTTGGTACCAGACATGGTAATGCTGATTGAAGGTGAGTGGATGTAAAGCCTCAGAAAACATTACATTTGCCCAGCATCATAAGTGTACATTAAAAGTAATAATAATAAAAGCCAGGATTTTGTCAGAACAAGTAATTCACTTTCTTTATAATTCCCCATAACTTCTGGCATTTCATGGGTACGCACCCATAGTTACACCGACTAGGAGGTAGATTACCACCTCTAAAGTTAGCTCCACAGTCCCAGTAACAGACCAGAGAAAAATCAAAACCTTGAGGATCAAGCCTGACTAAGCTCATAGATTTGAGACACAAGATGGCTTCCAAAGACCTGCACTTAATGTTACTGCGTCTCAGAAACCGTAAAGGGTTCTCGTAATAGAAAGCACTTACCTTAGCATAATAATGTAGAGCCACTAAATAAAGATAAATCTTTCATACTTCACTACATTATTAATCATTTAAGAACACAGCAAAGAAGATACTTACGCATTCCTGAGCACTCTCTATCACCATCCCATACGTTAGATACTGCATGCCCCGTCAGGAGGAGGTTAATTAAGCTTTGGCTATCAATAAAAATTAAATATCAGTTAAAATAGGCACAAAACTAGTTCTTAAAGTAATTCCTACAATTTTAAATGACTTCTTACAATAAATTATGTTAAAACACAAAATGAACGGAACCCTTGGCTTCCCTTTCCCATGTCCGGCCTTAGTGAGGGCCACAGTGCTGACCTGCATCCGCATCCCTGTGATCTCAGAAGCCTAACAGCTTTAAGATGCCATATTTAAATGAATACAAATTCATCTCACTTAGTATTACATTTACTTTTATATGTAATCATTTTTGAATTTATAATCATATTATTTATATTATTTTCTCTCTTCCCTTTTCTCTCTTCAACCCTTCCCGTATACCTCCTTGCTCTTAAATTAATTGCCTCTCTTCCTTTATTTGTTGCTATATACACTTACATATAGACATATACATATATAATACATATACATACATATATACACACATACATATATACACACCTATACATACTCTTGAATAAATATAAACTGTTCAGTCTACAAAATGTGCCTTGGATGAGAATAATTTTAGGACTTGGTACTGGAGAACCAACTGGCATTGGAAACCTTACTACCTGGCTAGTGAAGTCATGGTTCTTGGAGAAGAATCTACAAAAGCCACTTTAATAAAGAAGCATAATCCTTAACTATATTTGAAATATTTATCCTTATACATGCAATTCTCACCCCTCGCCAAAGACACTTCTCTTTGAAACAGATGGAGACCACTGCAATTATATTTCACATGCAGTCTTTGATGGAAGATAGGTGAATCTTCTTTTTTTTCAGTGTTGATATATTTTATCGGGTATTTTCTCTCTCTCTCTCTCTCTCTCTCTCTCTCTCTCTCTCTCTTTCTCTCTTTCTCTCTTTCTTTCCTTCCTTCCTTCCTTCCTTCCTTCC